TATATATATATATATATATATATATATATATATATATATATATATATATATATATGTACACACACACATACAGAGAGACAGACAGAAATAATCAGTGCTGTCTCATCATTGAAGCCTAATTGTTAAACGTCATAGAACAGACAACAGATTTCTTAAATGAACACAAGCGTTGTGACGCTCGTAATATTTTATTTATGGAAACCACAGACACACAAGCACACCCAAACACAAAAGCTGTACTAAAAACGTTTTTCTCACATCCGTTGTAGAGGCATATTGGACTAAATTAGGCCTATATTACGGGTATAATGACGACCTTCTTTGGTACCAAAACTTTACACTTCTCTCCTAAAAAGGTAATCCCAATTAATAATTTAATTTTCTCTTGAGATCAAAAATCCCTGCGCTGCTAAAGGCGGTGACTGAAAGTCATTTTTCCCCTTCCCTACTGTCGCTACTAATCTTTTCGGCTGTTTAACTTTCAGACGTGACAAAGAAAATCGTAAGTGATTATCTCAGTTTGGATAACACGCATTTCTGTAAACATCCGCTGAGTTTCGAGCGCTCTAAGTCTTCGTCACGCTCTTCCACCGGAGCGGCACCAGCAGCAGATGAGCGCAGTGCCTGAACTTGTGGTCCCTTGCGCTGTATATTATAACGTTGCAGCAACTGTTGGTTGTCAATATCCAAAAGGCAAAAAACGAGAAATTGCACCACTCCTTCCCGGCGACATTTCCCACGACGAAGACCGCGATCGGGGTGAAGGAAGCAGTGAAATCGAGGGTGAGCATCCCTATGGTCTTTGCTGCCTTAATGTCGGTGAAAGTGGGTCCAGTGACTCGCTGGCAGTCAGATTCGGCCAGGTGCTGCCTTCGCTTGAAGTGCATCCAGATGGTGGAGAACGACAGGATATTGATTGCCACTGTGCCCGACAGGAGAGTGAAGTCGAAAGCGGGAAACAGGAGTACGTTCCAAGCCTGGGTGGGAAACGTCGCAGCCCTCAGTGCGTAATTGCACATTCGATTGCACGCGTTGTATTCTAGCACGATTTCCTTGCTATAAAGAACTGGAAACACGGCTAGGAAGAAACTTCCCAGCCAAGAGAGCAGGATGAGAATGCTTGTCCGTTTCCTTGTGATCACTGCTTCGCGGTGCAGCGGTAACAGGACGGCAATGGTGCGCTCGATCATGAGAAAGAAAATTGTTGTGATTGACACCAAGGTGCAACCCGCAAATACCGGACCGATGAAGCTGCATGGGTGGAAAGTAGCGATCAGTGAATTTACTGTAGTCCATTTCGCAGGCGAACCATTAATCAGGAGTGATAGTTCGGCGTACACGGAGAGAGGCACCACAAAAGCGCGCCCACTGTGAGGTCAAGGGAAGCCTTTAGGTAACCCTGTGGAGTGTGGAAGTATTTCGTCCGCAGGATAACAGCCAGAGTCACTGAGTTTCCAAACATAATAGCAACAATGAGCAGGATCATGAAAACCACGAGCACAATTTTACTGGTCAAAGTGCAGCAGTAGCTGAGTAGCCGAGTTATAAAACATTCTTTGAAATGAGCTATTTAATCAAAGCCATTGCTTCACAATTCCAAGCGAGCGGCTTTCAGTGGCGGAAAATCGAGGTGGCTCGTTTTCGAGGTGGCAGCTCTTAGTCCAGCAGAAGGGGACTTAATAAACAAAACCAGTTATGGAAAGAATACGAAACATGCACATTTCCCAAAACAACAAAAGAAGGAGCAGGAATGTCTAAAAACCAATACAATCAACAGTACCAATAAAATTTCAATAAAGTATTGACTATGTCATTCAAAATTAGGTAATTATATAATCCATATACTTTGCAAATCAGCTGCCTACAAAAATTACAATATGATTTAATTTTAGAGATAGGGAATATTGCACCAAATGATGTAGTACATACCAGTCTAGATCCAATTCATAGTCAGCTTTGAGTCGGAGAGGAACGTGCACTGACCCCCCGCCCGCCTACATGTTCGCGTAAGAAATGCTGCAAATCACTGCGCGGACCGTGGTGAAAGCGCTATGCCTTTAGTGGAGATCTTTTGTTCAGGTAGGTTAGCTGTGAGATCAATCTGACAGATTAATCTGTCTGTAAGAGAGACCACATTACTTTATTGTGAAATCTGAAACTAATATATGTAATATATTTAGTCTTGGATAAGCTAACAAGTGGTATACTCTTAGTCGATCATGTTGAATGCAGAAGACCTGCGCAGGGATAAAGATCTGAATGCCTTACCAAAGGCCAATTCATTATGGCCAGACAACTGGAGCATCTCCGAAACTAACCCTAATATATCCCAGATCTTGACACGCACCGTCTTGACTAGATATTTAGATTTACTTGATATTCGGGTCACGTAATCTTTGGCTCATACTGTAGGTGAATATGCACTGTTTTTACGGGCTCCTGTTTGTGTGACGGTTCGTACGGTTATTTCCCTTAGTGACGGGTTCCACCGCGGTGGGAAAACAAATAGAGATAAACGCGATTCAGAAGAGTGAGAATGCAACCTTACGGGGCTGTATGTCTGACCATATTGGCCTGTTTTTAGGACTGTAAGGGTCCAAAGCAAAATACCTAACTTGATTACAATGATTTAAAATGATCAGCTTGTGTATGTATGTGAGCTGAAATTAGTATTATGGTTTGTTTTAGCTTGGAAAATTATCTCTGCAATCGGACCTTAAACTCATATTGTCAGAAAATTATGTGAATTATCGTAATTGAGTTGCAAATGATGTAGCTGACAGTGAGAAACAGCAGCTCTCTCCTCAGTTCTTTTTGTGTCCATCCATCCATCCATTTTCTGTATCAGTTTGTCCTGTGCAAAGTTGTGGGAGTATCTGTAGCTTGTGGAGTAAATGTAGCTTGTACTGGAAGCTCCAGGCAGGGAACAACCCAGGTAGAGGTAGAAAATTCAGGTCTAAAAAGTACAAATCCAGACCAAGATTTTGTTTCAGCCAGTTAGTTGAATCTAAAGAGTCACAGTCACAGACTCAACTGGGTGGTTGAAACAAAATCTTGGTTGGGATTTTTACATTGAGGACAGGACACTCACCCATCACAGGGTGCTCATACCCCATTGACACACACATTCGCACCCACAAACAATTTGGAAACTCCAATGCCTCTTAGCATGTGTCACTTGAGAAACCTTCCTTTCCATTCAAGGCTTCACATTTGACTGGATAGGTTTTAAAGTTCAGACAGCTTATGGAGACTTATAAACAGTCATTTTTTCCCCGACACTGTGTGGCTGAATGGGCTGATCATGCTGCAGTGAACTGACCATCTACTTCCATTGGGGGTTTCAGGCTGGCTGGAGCCCCACCTCAACTTAGTTAGATATGTTTTGAGTTTTTTTGTCACCTTAATTAATTGGTTTTTGTGCCTTTGGTTCTGGTTATCTGGTCTGGTTTTCTTCTAGTTCACTGATGTTCTCTGTATCTCCTGTGTCCTCCTCCATAACAGAAGCCATTTTAATTAAACAAAGTTTTTTTTTTTTTTTAAATGGACCTCAATATGACAGTTACTCTGATGCCTTTAAAAATCCATTGATCTTCTAACCAGTTAGGCATCTTTCCCAGGTAGCATAGGATGCATGGCTGGGGTATGCCCTGGATGGGGTACGTCCTGGCTGGGATATGCCCTGGATGGGGTACGTCCTGGCTCGGATACACCCTGGATGGGGTATGCCCTGGCTGGGATACGCCCTGGATGGGGTACGCCCTGGATGGGGTACGCCCTGGATGGGGTACGTCCTGGCTGGGATACGCCCTGGATGGGGTACGTCCTGGATGGGGTACGTCCTGGCTGGGATACGCCCTGGATGGATCTTGGATAGTCCCAAGACTACTGTGCAGAGGTGGACAAAACACATAACTCCATTACTGGATATAGATATATACATATATAGATACCCGTAGTAAAATATTACTGCAATACAGTCAGATTTTTACTTGAGTTAATGTCCTGTAGTACTTGATTTAAAAAATACTTAAGTATTCAAAAGTACATTTTCTTTTTAATGTCAATGCATTGTTGCCACCATGCATTTATAGGACTTAATGACTCGGAAACAACCTACAGAATGCACTGACTTGCTTGTAGAACCCATAGAATAAAAAGCTTGTGGAATATGCTACAAAGTCAGTTATACACCTCTAGCTTTATAAACTGCCCAGTAACTTGACTGACATTGAATGAGTAGTTTACTGACTGGTATTTCTTCTGTGACAAACACAATATGGCCTATCACACTGGAGAAAAAAATTGTCTGATGACTTAAAACCTATGCTTCAACGTAATTAATAATGAGAACCTTCATAGAAATGTAGTAGAGTTGAAAGTACAATATTTGTCTTACAAATGTAGAGGAGTGAAAGTCATGTTTCCAAAAATATTGATACTTAGTACAGTACTCAAGTACGTGCTTTTTGTTACTGGTCACCCCTGCAACCGTAGCTCATCTTGACATGTTTTGAAATTCAAGGCTGGACCATCAGTTCTTCCTGCTAAAGAGGGGCTCCCACATTACAGTGGATCTTCTGTGTTTTTATGGTGAAGGTGTCCGCAGTGTAGTTCTTGCTTTTTACTTACTTAGAAACACTGTCTGTCAAACACAGCAGTCATTTTTACCCAGCCCCCATCCCACACTGTCACTGTCACTTTGTCGAGAGTCACTGATATTTGTTTTTTCTTCTTCTTCTTTTTCATCTTTAAAATGAAATTGCCTCCTTTTCAGTCATGGACGGGTCCCTGCTTTTCACTTTGACTGAAAGATATGAAGCCATATTTATACATCCACACCTTTAGCCTACTTGCAGCGGTGCCCCCAGTAAATTTTCATAGGGCCACTGAAAATCTTACGGGGTGGCAAACCAAGACCAAAAGCCACAACTGCATTTCAGGAATTTTAGCACGCTTCTGGAAAGCACCGTGTATATACATATGTAGACCTACAGATTGTTTTCGTTAATTGAACTGGAAGAGTAGAATGTATCATGTATGTTTATGGAAAATGTCCATGAATCGTTTCTGAGGTAGTATTTTCCCGTAATTTATTTGTATAGGCATCGTATCGACACATGTGAAAGCACAGACGTGTGAAATAGTGTGGAAGGGGAATCCTTTCACCAGCTTAGTAGGTTACGTCTCGTCTCTCTACCCACCCACCCGGGTGGCAAGGAACTTTCCGCCCAGCCAAGTGCAGTGACTGAGGGCAGTATTCGGGGGTGTTTCACACGCGTCCAACGTTCTGACGACTGTCGCCTGGAGAGCTGAAGGTGGAGAAATGGCTGATAAAATTTCCAGTAAATATCAAAACAAATTGTAATAGCGATTACCAGCTGTTTATTGCATGTTTAGTCTTGTGAATGTTGTCAAAAATAAGACCAGCATTCAATCATTACCACAGATACCACAATAAAATCGACGAGTTAGAGTGCAAAAGGTACAAAACGCTTAAAATAGCAACAAAATCAAACACGAGTAGGTAAGAAAGAGAAGTGAAAACGACGATACGAAACATAAAATTCCAACAGAAAGCTAGTATATAGATTAATGATACAAATAACTCTAAATTTGAATTTTGAGTCCCGGTAAAGGCTTTAGAAATGGACACATGTAAATCCACAATCAATACACTTTATTGGGTCAGGGACTAAAAATCGAACACCAGATGGACTTTGGGCTGGCCTACGACCACACGGTAATTTTTTCCTGTCCAGTGCTGTTTATTTCTTTTTTTGCATGTACTTATTTGCATACATTTCTGCGAGAAGGAATTTAGAAGCCTGGGGTACAGTATGTCACCGGGGACACCTATAAGCGGTAGTTCGATTATGTTTTAGTGAAGTGCTTTAACTGTTACCTTTAAAATAATGCGTCTGTCAAATGTTGAATTATTGGCGTACAGCAACAAAATTAATTAAAACGTTCTTGAAATATTGTGTTTTAGATACATGGCGGCAGAATGAAAGGTGGGCTTGTAGAAAACCAGAATTGCTATTTCACACAGTGAGGAATTCAGGGGCGCTCGTCCATTGGTATTTTTAACTTCGATTCCATCATTGGTTATTTTAACTATAGCACAGTTCTCGGTAAAATATGTCAGCGATTTTCGTTTGCTACTTAAACCATATCTCATCAACCACCTTAAATAAAACCTGAGTAGCCTGTAATAAAAACCGATTCAATCGGAAATCCGGTCCCAGTGTCTACGATTCAAACCTCTTAATTCAACTCACGTTTTAAATGCAACTGACCAAAAACAATTAACCCGTCACATATCGATATATCCGTCGCGCCACTGGGTATTACTGCAATGTTTTTTCATGTTAATATCTTGTGATCACCTTGTTACCTACTGTGCCGGATGTTTTTTGTATTATAAAACAAAGTAACTGTTTCTTTAAAAAAAAAAAAAAAACATTCTATATATTATATAAAAAACAAACAAGACAAACGTTATTGATCTAAATTGTATCCAAGTCAGAGACTAATATAAACTTTACACGTTTAACTGTATTCATTTGAGATGGAAAAACACACACCCCTTTAATGAATTTTAAAATCTTCCCGGTGAGACTTCCTGGTAAATATAAGTGGTTATTCTAGTTGTTCAACAACTTGTGGAGTAGTAGTAGGAACTCGGTCCGCAAAAGGGGGAAAGCTACAGTGCAGTTATAAGAAACAAAGGACGAAACTGTCAATTTACTGTTACAGATTTTACTTAAAGAAAATAAAATTACCTTTTTATGGAACTTAAGGTAACGTATTCCTAACTTTCGCTTTAATGTACCGAAGAAGTTGAAGAAAGGAGCGTCCTTTGGGGAGCGCATAAACTGGAGGAGGCCGGGTAATCTCAGTCGGAAAGGACGGGAAGGTCCCTCAAGTCCGATTCCTGTTTATTTGCGTTAAGACAGAAGGGGAACGATCCACGTCGTTCTGTGCTGTGCACACCCTGTCTGAGCCGTACGTAGCTGCAGGTCGGGTGACGCTACGAATCCCCGCTGCCGTGCGGAGCCATATTGTTGGGGCACTCGGGAGTGCGGGTGAGCTCGTGTCCGTGAGGGGAAAGCTCGAGACAGCCGGCGTGAGGGAGGAGGGCTAGCCGCCACCGAGCTGCGCGAGCACCGGCGAAAGTTAGCCACACGGACGCTATCGGCCACCGGCGAAGGCAGGTAAATATTCGCCCCCGCTTACAGTCCTATGCGGTTCGCTTGTCGGACGGTTATTATTCTGGCGAATGGTGTTGGCAGTAGGCGACCGAAGTTAAACTTGGAAAGTGTCTATCCACGGAAAGAGAGGGAGGCGTCCGGATACAAACAGCGCTAACTAGCTAGCGAGTTAGCCAAATGCGGCTACCAAGTTGAGTAATAAATGTCAGGGTACAACCCACAGACTAGCTTTTCTGGCGTGTCTCCATTACAATGTAACTTCTTATGAAACAGCTAGTTCGGTTAGCGCCCAGTCTGTTTCATATAACGTTGGAGGAATTCCCAGTAGCCTCAGGCGGAGGGTAGGTCTGTTTTGACTCGTCATATTATACTCAGGTCGTTTCTGTAACTAGTCAGTCGTCATGACCTGTAAATAGTCGTAACTAATCAGCAGCGGATCGTTCGTTGAAAATATGGTTTCCCAGCCCAGGTTAACACAGACCCTTCATCGCCTAGCGATTAACGTTATAAGACCTCTTCTGAACAGCTGGTACTGGCTAACGTGCTAACTGGTGAAAATTCGGCATGTTTGCTACAAGCAGTAGGCAGGGTGGCATTTTTCCATTCCCAAATAGTACATTAGGCATTTGTGACGTGGGATATTCTCTGTATTTTATCGCTACCTGGCATAACGGCGACCATATCTTATATCCACTAATGATAGTGTTTTTATGAGTCAAGTTATTTTCGTAAACAAACACATAAACTGTACGGTTTTATTGGGTTTATCTGCTGGCTGTGCGATCCTAGGCCACCGATAAGTTTTAGTATACCGTCGCTTTTGGGGTGTCTTTGGTACTTTCTTGAGCTCTCGCCCTGTCCTTATTTTTGGCTCCTTGTCTTTAGTTCATTATATATGCGGTAGTCTGCTTGCAGCCTGTCGTCTAAGTACGGCTTCCAAAAAACGTGTTACTTTTAACCCACCGCGTAAATATAAGAACTGAAACTAATAGCGCCCTCCCCTAACTTTTAAACTTATTAACGGTCTCATGTGCATCATGTTTTGTGTGAAACGAACTTTCATTTGTTAAAAAGTAATTTGTCATGCCTGGTGATGTGCAGCTCCTCGTGAATGTGTTTACAAGGTTAGCTAACATGTAACTGTCAGTTAAATAAACACATCAGGCTGTTATCCTAAAAGATACATGCCACGATGTACCTTAAACGTCTCCTTCCTTTAGTTTGCTGAAGGTTGTCATGTAATCTGTGTTTGTTTCGAAATATGGTGGAAGTAACTCAGTTTTGTTTTCTGTCACCCAAGACTTTATACTATGGAGAGGGGTAGTATGACTCCTGTGTTATGTCTCCTTAGCGTTGATTAACCTTAGCGTGCAGCAAGCTTCAGTAAATGTAGCAAATACAATCTGAAGCTGTATTTGTGCATTTTGAGCTAATCATTCGAGCTCAGGGCTAAGCTCGGGCTCAGTGGTCTAAGCCTCTGTGCCTGTGATTAGAAGGTCGCCAGTTCGAGCCAGGCCTCGGCATGCCTGCGGGTTCTTGAACAAGGCTCTCATACCCCAGCTCCCTGGGCACTGCTGTGGGTGGCTCGTCTTTGCAACCAGCTTTCTCTCAATTTTGGGGAGGTGTAAAGAGAATTTCCCCACCTGAATAAATAAAGTATCTATTATTATTATTATTATTATTATTATTATTATGTAATACTGCTGTGCAATATGGTGTATATGTATGTGTGTATGTGTGTGTGTGTGTGTATATATGTGTGTGTGTGTATATATGTGTATATATGTGTGTGTGTATATATGTGTATATATGTGTGTGTGTATATATGTGTGTGTATATATGTGTGTGTATACATATATGTGTATGTGTGTATACATATATGTGTATATATGTATATATATGTGTATATATGTGTATATATGTATATATATGTGTATATATGTATATATATGTGTGTGTATATATATATATATATATATATATATATGTGTGTATATATGTGTATATATATGTGTGTATGTGTATATATATATATATGTGTGTGTGTGTATATATAATCTCGGATGATGAAATAAAAGTGTCTGACATTGCATATTATGCTCTATTTTGTGATGTTGCAAAATATATTTTATGGCAACATTTTTTCATCATTTGGATGACAGTTTAACCCACAGAAGACAATCCACAAATATGTACCGTGATCTACAAATATTTAACTATCCACAAATATGTATTTTTTTTATTTGTGCTATGTAAAGTCATAGAGAGCGGTTTTTACACGTGAAACGTGTTTGGGGCATTTGTGGATCAGGTCCTGTCTATTTGTGGATCGCGTTACATTTCTCACCATGTACACTATGTAACTTTAATATTATGTGTTTTTATATGTATTTTTTTTATTGCACTGTGTCCATTTACTGCCAGTGACTTGAAGCACGAGAGTTGGACTATTGAACATGAAGTGCACACATACAAACACTGAAATATATCTCAAACATTGAAAGATATATGCAGTTTTCTGGCTGTAATAAAGCTAACTTTACCGTGGTGTTGGAGTTAAGGTTTAAACTCGAACTCGCTGTCTGGAATATTTTAGTGTAGATTTGCATATCCCCACATACATCATCAAGCGGTAAATTTCGCTTTATATTCAGGTTTCCGGCTGTCATATCTTTCAACAAAAGTAAGCAACACCCCTTGGTTTACCAGATTTCTTTATGGGCGAATTTTAATTAATATTTTAATGTTTGTGGGTACACATCACCTTCAGTGGCCCAGCGGTCTTGTTTACAATCACTGAGAGTGAACGGACACGGTGCAATTATTAATAAATGCGTATCAAACAAACATATGAAAGTTACTTGGAGTGTATTGTCCCCCATAGTTTAATGCTTAAAGCACACTTAATTGGACATGTCTGTATCATTTAGGTTTATACTTATTCATGATTTCATGTCGCAGTTCTGGAACTGCTGCACTGCATCCCACCCCTCCCCCCGACTCATTGGAACTGCTGCACTGCATCCCACCCCTCCCCCCGACTCATTGGAACTGCTGCAGATGCAGCCTGTTGAGCTTCCATTATGTTACTAATGTTACAAAACTTTTTATTTCACGATTAACACTATAACACATGTACAATAACTAAATTTTTCTTTCTAAAGTTAGGGCAAGCTGTACATTTTGTAAATATTACACATGACACCTATTGTCATTTAACTGTGTGCCACGTGACTGTTTTGGTCCAATCACGGTGCTAATATCAAGATGGATGATAACCCTGAGATTGCAGTCCTCTGTCCCTCATCCCCCTCCTCCCAGGAGCACATTCAAGTCAGAAGTATGAGAATATTATGGTTATGCAGTTTACTTAGTTATTTTATGTGAAGCTAAGTTAATCTAAGGGGTGTAAACCATTGTCCCCAAGGCCGTTCAATTAAACCTTTTTTTTAAACTTCACTGAAGATTTACAAATATTAATTACCTTGGCAAATTATTTACACACTGTTAGTGGAAAACAAAGAAAGTAGAATCTCAGAACGTTAATTTTTATTCTTATTATTAAACATGGAGAACATGCTGGTGTCATATTGTCAAAACTCCAACTACTGAACTGTGCCGAAAAAAATCAAACACATTAAAGGAAGTTTGCTGATGAGATTAGAGGAATGATGTTACAATTCTTTGGGGAAAAAAGATTAGTGGACCAGATTAATTAAAAACATGTAGCATGCCAGTACTTTGACACCTATTTTAATGGTGCTTTTCCACTGGCATACAGTAACCAAACTATACCCAAGCCATACCATGAAGAGAGATTAGTTACAGTTCAGTTCCAGGCTGCTTTCTGTTTTGGATTTAAATAGATATAATGTTGGAAAAGCCTCTGCACTTTGCTCATTCTTAATAGCACAGTGCCAGACTTGCAGATCTGAGTCCCTTAACAAAATTGGGCTACATGCAACAGGTCAAATATCAGCTGTAACAAATGTGATCAACATAATTACAGTAACCCACCTTTAAATTGATATTTAAAAATTGATTTGTGACATTTCTGGTGATCAAAAAATCCCACCTCAAAGAATCCTGATTTGTAACTGAATCGATCCCACCCACCCCATTTAGATGAAGCTTTTAAAAATGTTTTTTAGGGCTGGGTGATATGGCAGCTTTATCTTGTTGTGGTTGTGCTGATTGGCCAAGTTATATCATGTGTCTATCACAGGGTCTCTTTCATATGTCACATGTTTGAAATGCTATTCAGTGTGAGCTATTGGCATGGCTGGTTGAGGAAGTATGGTATGGATCGGATAGTGATTTGCTTGGCCATGTTATGCAAAATGTATTCCTCCGTTCAAAATCCTACCTCCTGTGACATGTCGATCAACTGTTTGGCTAATGACACAGTCATGATGATGCAATTGTAAGCTTCAAGTTACCACATAAGTTTCAAGTTCACTCTTATTTCTGCAGCAAGCATTTACCTCAGTAAAATACATTCAGGAATGCTTTTTTATATATAAAAATGATTTACATGTAGGGCATTACGGTGGTGCAGCACTGTTGCTTCACACCCATGGGACCAGGGTTCGAGTCTCCACCATGGCTCCATGTGTTTGGAGTTTGCATGTTATCCCTGTGTAATTGTGGGGTTTCCTCTGGGTACTCAGGTTTCTCCCCACTTTTCCAAAATATGGTAAGGTGAATTGGAGTTGCCAAATTGCTCATAGGGGTAGATGTGTTAGGGAATGGTGTGTGACTGTGCCCTGCGTTGGCTTGGTGCCTGATCCTGGGCTGTTCCCCGCCTTGAACTCTAAGTCTCCAGGACCCCCGCGACCCTGAATGAGACAAGCAGTTACAGGAAATGGACGAATGGGTTTAGCTTGATAGTGTAACTACCATGTTTTATATGTTTGATGTTAATAATGTATATCTATCTCAATAGCAAAATGTTTTTTTAGATTAGTAATCTATATTTAGCTTGGTTGAAATGATTTGA